CAACCAGTTTAAATGAACTCTAATATTTCTACCAAGGAGAGTGGTCAAATATCCAGCTGCAATTATTCCAGAAGCTTGTTGATTGCTACCAAAGCCTGGTGGACGTGCAAGGAGCTAAGAGCCATTTAACCAAATATTAGTGGGACCTTATGTATACATTTGATCCTGTGTTCATTATAGAAAATCCAAAAGAATGCATACCCATGATGAGTATATGTAAACTTCTGAACACAACTCTACATGTTTATCTTGCAGATGCCATAAAAGATTTTAGCAAATTCCATTAATAAATAAAAACTCTGTGACTAAAGAACAGAGTTTTGAATCCCCACTTCCTGCTTAAACAACCCCATTTTCATCATTCTTGACAATCAAACTTTGTCAAAAAGAACGGCGGGGGGGTATTAGTCGTTAGTATTCTGCATTAGATGGAATCTGCTATCCAATCAGCAATTTCCCTGCTGAGCTGACCAGTGTGACACTCCTTTGTGCCACTCTCATAACAAAAGCATTTTTCTTCTGAGATCCACTTCATTACCCAGACTAATATGGAGCAAAATGTTTATTCAAATGAGCCAAGATCAAATCCTATAAAATGAATGTGAAAATGCTGAAATGGATTATATGCTTGCAGAAAAAAAAATCATATTTGAATTAATTACAAACTGAAAGGCCATCGGTGCTGAAAAAATGCTTTCTCTTCCTCCATTTCCTCACTTATTTTCTTATTAGCTTACATTTATTTATTGTCACATTCATCACTGCCCTGTGTCATCAATATGTGTGTGTGAAAAGCAGAGAATAATTACATTTTATCAGCATCAACATGACAGTGGCAAGCATTGTGAGCAACTGATTGGCCGTTGTCTCAAGGAGAAGGCATATTGTGAGCGTTTGATTGGCCCCTGCCGGAGGAAATACTTTGTATTAGCGATTGATTGGGCAGTGTAATTTTCCACCTGAGTGGCCCCCGGACACACACAGTTATTGTGTGACTTTGGCAGGAGCCACCTTTGTATAGTAAGTGTGTGAATGTGAGTTTCCTCTTGCTTTTGAATGATATTCTCTGAGCTCTGATGGGGTCTTGCGGGGCAGGGACTGAGGTTGAGCACAGTGTTGCCCGTCGCACGACAAGTCACGTGGCAGTCTGTCAGGTCACCTCTCGTCAGGAGGTGTACAGCACAGAAAGCAAATCTTCAACGGCAATAACGCAGAAACACATTTCATATCACATTGGTGTGTTTTATGTGCAAATGTGCACATAAAACACATCAAGTTGCTGTACATCCTTGTATTATCTTTACACAAGTTCACGTGCGAATGCATCAATCATCGCTGTTGCGTGACGTGGCCTGGTTGTGAGTCCGCCAGTGGACGAGCAAGCTCGGAGTGGAAAGATATCAAAACTGCATCTCCTTCGAGATAGGACGCGGTGACCTCCCCGGCGTGCTGCTTTTTCAGCCTTTCATTTTATGTCTCCGATTCACTGCTCTGATTACATTTAGTTACAAAGAGTTGTTATAAAAGGTGATTCAAAGACAGCTCTCCATCAGGTTTTACAGCCTGCTCGCTCATTATGAGCTCCTTTTACTTTGAAATAGAGCCGTGCATCACATGAGAGGTGCTGTTTGCCTAAAGGATATAAAAGTTCATGTGCTGCTTGTCAACACTTGATTTTTATAAAATCTCTGACATAAAAAGCAGCTCTGTTGACAAGATCACAAATTAATGCATTACAAATCTTTAAAAAAAACAATTTAAAAAAACTGCTCAGAGTCCAAAAAGTCACTGCATATTTGGTACCAAGTCTTTCAAATGAAACAAACTAGCATTTATATATTTAAATAGGGTAACAATGTAACAATGTTGAGTAACAATGTTGGTTCAAAAAAATTTTAAAAAAGAAGCTTTTATTCTGTAGCCAAGTTTAGACTGGAAAGCCATTTGCTTAATGGTAGGAAAAATTAAATGCTCATATTTCTGCAGAAAAACAAACCTTCGTCATGGCTATGATTACTTCTTAGTTATAATTAGGGTTCAAAGAAATCAGTGCTACTTGTTCTCTGTTGACCCTTCCATCAAACCCAAACTCCTCCCTCTGCTCTCTAACATAGCACTTTCCCCTCCCCCTATACACAGCACCAGAATCCATGTTTCCCCTGACTTCAGCTGTTTGTTAAGCACGCAGATTTATCACGCACACATTAATGTGGCATCATTCTTCTCTTCACATTCTCACGGTGACTATTCAGCATTTAACAGCCCGATGAGTGCACAATGCCGAGGCCGGGGTGGCATATACACACATAAATCATGTAAACAAGTGCGCATCAGATCTTTAAGAAACCTGATCAGAGAGTCGACTCCTCTGAAGGACACAGAGACCGAGCGTGACAAAACAGTTATTAAACCGAGCGCAAGCGAGACGATCTCTAGACCGAGCAGCAGGGGAAGGGGAGACGTGACCATGAAAGGGTGACAGAGCGAGACGCCAAAATGAAGAAATGCAGAGATGAGAGGATAGAGAAATAGAGGGCCTGAGAGACCTGATGGAGGGTGTAGGAAGAGGAAACGACCACTCGAAGCAGATAAAGTGATCAGAACGGCCTCCGTGAATGTACAGATACTTAAAGGGTCTTTGTTTTTTTTTGTTTTTTAAGGTTTTGAAAAGGCTGTTTATAAAGTGAAGGACTTATGACCTGTATAACTTTAGCAAAGAAGGGTTTTGGGGATCAGAACCAGCACAACTATGGTTTAATCAGAAAAATGGAGGGATGGTAACACTGTGTAAAAGTCTGCCTAAAATTCAAGACTTTATTTTGAATCAGATTTTTCTTTCTTATACTTAAATGACTTTGATACAATGACCTTTACTTTTAAGGCCGGACTTCAAACTTGCATTTAGGTTTATTCATGTAATCATTAGGAGGTTTCTTCCTGTTAAAAGGGAGTTTTTCCTTCCCACTGTCACCACCAGTTATTATAGACTGTCATTATAAGGTAAACACAGCATTTAAGGAGATAGATTCAATTTTGTCCTTGGTCGCTGAAAACCAGTCGAGGCAGCTGTCTTCTTTAGAAAACAACTGCAAAATGACCTATGAAGGCCAAAATGATGTTCAAAAAGCACAGACTCACCAGCGCCTTCAAAATAAGCACCCATCTTCTTCTCATTTCCTCACAATCCAGCCAGTTATGATAAAGCCGGAAATGGGAAACAGTGGGGCCTTGTAGGAGTCTATTCTTCTGGTATACTGAGCCTCGGGGGACAGAGGAGGGAAATTACCATCAGTGACACCAGTTTGCGGCAGCCGTTTCTATCAGATAAGGCAGAATTGTACATGCCACTCTTAAATCAATCAAGGTCACCTCTTTGCTCCCTTTGCTTCTGTGTTATAGCGGGTTCAGTTCATAGTGGGCACCCCAGCTGTTGCACAGCACGGATGTAAACTTATCAGAACCTGACATACACAGCCAAACCGGGCTTTACTTCTGCTTTTATTTGACTTTTTCAGTTATTACTAGCACTCAGAGCTTTGACCTTGATGTCTGATGCCCTTTTGCTGTTAGTAAGTTGTCCAGCAACACCACCTGCTGGTATAAATGTATAAATGTATAAATTTTACATAGAAAAGTTTAGAGAAAGCATAAATGTTAACTACAAAACAAAGAGCCCCGATGTACTTTCTAACATTATTAATGTTGATGTGTTCCATACTCGTCACAAAATAAGTTTTATATTGTGAGATGGATTTTCAGTTTTTCTGCACATTATTTTAACCTTTTGGAAGAACCAAACACATTCTGTGAGTAGTTCTTGGTTCCAGTTGATTGATTTTAATCAGCAGTTGGGGTCACAATTACTTCACTTTACGAGTGCACCGTCTCTGATCTCATATTCCTGGTAGAAAACTGCGATGAGCTCCTTCAACTTGTATTTTATTGCATTCTTGCAGCCGCAGCCCTGCCCTGCAGCTGTCTGAGTAGGACTCTAGTGTTCCTTCTTTTGACTATTTAGGTGAGCAAGTCCATGGTCTGGTATCATGCACTATCAACATGTAGTAGTTCCACCAACATTGGGAATGCTGGTGAGATCAGGTTTAATGTGCAGAAATGATATTTCAAGAGACGCTAATGTAAAGTATCAAATATATATATGACTTTATTATGGAAATAAACTATCAAGGAAAAGAGAGATGGTGCTACAGCAGCCATGATCATCCAGTTCTGACGTTTAAAATCCAGGAGAACACCCGCAGGTTTCATGCATTAATTGGTCCTTGCACAAATGTTTAAAGAGATTATAATAGTGTTCTCTGAGCACTAATTTGTAACTGTTTTTACCCCCAAAGAACTCATAATAATGTATTTAAATATTTCAACTTTAAATTGTTGCTCAGTCTTGACAGTAAGTTGTTTCTTGCTTCTTTGTTTCACGTGAATACAGGACGGAGTTGCAATCAAACCTTTTCCCTAAATGAAATCAGAATGTCTCTGAGTATACAAATACTGCATTGTTCAGCTGCTGGACACCAGCGCTCCTTCACTGATAAGCTGAGATTTTTTTTTTACCCCTAGTAACACGCCTTAAAATACCATTAAAGAACAGAAAGCGAGCACTGAATTCAGACTCTGTGCCCAACCTTATTATGGACAAAGTAAGAAAAGTTCAAAGTAATAAAACAAAATACTGCAGTAGAGGAAACCCTCTGTAAAAACTGTACTTGCATAAAAGTTTAAAGCTGATTTCTGTCACTCAAATAATAATATACAATCACCGGACATTTTATTAGGTACATCTGTCTAACAGCTTATTGATGCATGGGATAATGCCTCGTTAGGAATGCAGACACGGTCGAGACGACCTGCTGCTCAAACTGAGCATCGGAATGTGGAAGAAAGGTGATTTTATGTGACTTTGAACATGGCATGGTTGTTGGTGCCAGATAGGTTAGCCTGAGCGTTTCAGAAACTGCTGATCTTCTGGGATTTTCCCACACAATTATCTCAAAGGTTTGCAGAGAATGATCTGAAAAAGAGGAAATATCCCGTGAGCAGCAGTTACTCTGGGGGAAAATTTCCTGTTGATACTGGAGGTCAGAGGTCAACTCATTACCACAAGGTATGCAGAAGGACATCTCTGAACACATGACACATCAAATCTTGAAGAAGAAGCAGCAGCAGAAGCCCACACTGGGTGCTCCTCCTCTCAGCTAAGAATAGGAAACTAAGGGTACCATTCGAATAAGGTCACCAGAGTTGGACAATAGAAGATTATAAAAGTTTTGCCTGGTCTGCCAAGGCTCAGTTTCTGCTGTGAAACTGGGATGGTACAGTCAGTGTAAACAACATGTAAACATGGATCCATCCTGCCTTGTATGAACGGCTCATGCTGGTGGTGATGAAATAGTGGTGTGAGGGATTTTCTCCTAGCACATTTTGGGCACCGTAGCCTACCTGAGTACTGTTGCTGAACATAGCTATCCCTTTATGACAACAGTGTATTCATATTCTGATAGATGCTTTCATATCCCAAAGCTCAAATCGACTCAAATTAGTTTTTTGAACATGACAGTGCACTCAAACGGCCTCCACAGTCACCAGATCTCAATCCAAAAGAGCACCATTAGGATGTGGTGATATCAGAGGCTTGCACCATGAATGTGCAGGTGACAAACCGGCAGCAACGGTGTGATGTTATCGTGTCAGTGTGGACCAAAATGTCTGAGGAATGTTTCCTGCACTTTGTTGAATCTATGCCACAAAGAATTCGGGCAGAAGAGGGTCCAGCCAGGTACTAACCAGGTGTACCTAATAAAGTGTCTTAGTGTATCTTGATACATTCACTGCTAAGAAGCCATTAATTAGCTACTAGTTTCAAAAGTGCCTAAGTCTTATAGCTGAACAGGCTCAGAGCAGCTCTGACCCCTCCATCCAGCGTAACACCTGCACTGAAACTCAGACTCCATTAGCTTTACATGACGTGGCTGCAAATGTCCTAAAACTCTGTATTTCCTCCATCCATTTGGTTTCCTCTTGGACACCACCTTCCACGAGGCAGGGTCAAGGTGGAGGTAGGCCTTCGACTGTGGATCCTTCCTCTGACATCGTCCATGAGAGGAACACATGGTCTGACTGCAAAGCGTAGCCGCTGATGTTACGTTTACCAGGTAAGGACCCAGAGTGTTATCGATGTAGGACTTGACGGCAGCACAGGTAGCCTGAAAGCAGGAAAGAAACAGGATATGATAAACCAGGGATGTGCAGAAGAATGCCCAATAAAAGCTTTAATGCAACTTTACATAACAGAATCTTTAAGCTATATGCATGCTCAGGTAACAGCATGAATATGTTATTTAGTCTAAAGCTATTACAAAATGAACAAAGACGTATTTCAGAGCAGGTAACATGTCCTGTTTTACTCAGCATGAAAAAAATACATGAAGACTGTTAAAGATATTATCAGTGGTCAAAGCAAAAGGTGCTGAGAAAAGCGCCACTCTAGCATCATCATCAATAGACTGTTAAAAACACAATGTGCCACCTTGTTTTTTACCCGGTGATGCTCATGAACACATAAACAAGCGCTCTGGCTTCTTTTGACTCAGTCCCATATACAAAAGACCTGTTGTTTAAACCACTTTAATCTGCAGCTGAAAAAAAATCTCCAGTAAATGCTTCATTTACTCCCATCTGAGTAATGTTTGCCAAATATCAGTGTCCAGCTGTGCAGAGAGCTCCTTTTATAAAATGAAACCACATATTTGTCACATTAAAAAAGAAAGTACGCCCTCTGACATTTCTGAGGTTTCTAAATATCAGGATAGGATAAAAGCATTATCTAGACATTAGCAGGTCTTAAAATCACGTAACTACAACCTTGGATGAAAAACAACATGTGACATATTGCACCATGTTGTTTATTTAACAAAACTAAAGCGAAATGCAGAAGACACGTGTGAAAAGCTAAGTGCACCCCACGATTCAGCTGCTTGGAGAACCACTTTTAACAGCAGTAGCTTGAAGTAATAGCTTTCTGTATGACTTTAGCAGCCTCTCACATGCTTCTGGAGGAATTCTGGCCCACTCTTCTTTACAATGTTGCTTCAGTTCAATGTGGTTTGCGGGCACTTGTTTACAGCTCTCTTAATTCTCATTGCAACACCTTCATTCTCTTCTTTTTCAGCCACTCTGTAGGAGATTGCTGCCTTGCTGGGAATCATTGCCCAGTTGCATGACCCAGTTTCAACTAAGTTTTAGACGCTAGAATATTTTGGTGTGAAGAGGAGTTCGTGATCGACTCAGTGACTGCAAGGTGTCGAATCACCCCTCTACCACTGTGCCTGACAGCTGGTGTGAGGTATTTGTGCTGATATGCGGTGTGTGGTTTTAACAATCCGTCAAGGACGTTGTTCCAGAACATGCCGAAACAGCTTTGTTTGTATGACTTTAGCAGTCTCTCACATGGTTCTGGAGGAATTTTGGCCCACTCTTCTTTACAATGTTGCTTCAGTTCAACGTGGTTTGCGGGCACATGCCGAACATGCCGAAACATTCTTTCAAAGAGAGAACAGGTACTCCTAGCAACCCTTTCAAACAACCATACTTGTTCAGTCTTTTTCTAATTGCACAGTCATGAACTTGAACATTTAATAAGCTGATGGAAGCCCATGAAGTCTGAAATGAAGCTCAGGAGTTTTTTATTGCGATTTTTCTTATCAGCATTGCACAGTCTGACCTCTGGGTCTTGCTCCAGACCATTAAATTGGTAAAACTTCTGCTTTCACACAGGTGCTCACGCTTGCTGATGATCAGTGTTGCGGAGTAACGGAATACATGTACCGCCGTTACGTATTTTAAATACAAAATATGAGTGACTGTATTCCATTACAGTTACAAGGGTGGTATTCAGAATACAGTTACTTTGTTGAAATAAATGGATTACACGGCGGTCTTTTCCTGTTTCATATATTAGGCTATGCTCTCTCTATTTTTGGTAATTCCACACCGGAGGAAACCTAAACAACACACGTAGCCTATTTAGAGGCTCTTATGCCTGTCTGTCAATCTGGCGGCCCATGTCACCTCTATTTGCGGCCCACATAATGACGTGAAGAATTATTTTACAAAAATTATTCACAAAAATGATTTAATATGAAGGCAATAGAGTGTTACAGGCATCGCCCTAAAGAATGTAGCCTCATGGGCAGTGTAGTCCGTGCTGCAGGGAGAATGGACTGCCATACTCGTTATGTATCTGTGAGCGCGAGGAGGGAGAAAAAGGATAGTCGAAAAGTACGAGTTGTCATTGAGCAGAAACGGGAGCTGGAAGCATGTAAATATAATAATAACCACTACAGCCAAAAAGAGTGCCTGACGAGCCCAGTTGTAAATAAGATATTAAGACTCAATTGTACACCGTGTTCGTGTTTTCCTCCGAAAGAATAAGTTCCATTGGAGCAGCCTTTCAGCGCCTCTCTCTGTCTCTCGCTAGCAAAGTTGACCCAGACAACAAAGTCAAGCGAGTTTTCGTCTATGAGCCCAAAACTTAACGTATTAGCCAGAGGTCCCCTTAATACGGTTCGGAGACGCAGACCTGTTTTATATACGCGTGGAATAGTTTTCTATACGAGATCGCTGCAAAAAGTGCAGCCTTACCCTAATGTCCACCCTACTGTTACTCATTTTATATTAAGATTTAAAAATCTAGTTGGTATTGGTATGGCGAGTAGTCTTCAGTAATAGTAATAAATCACACAGCAATACATTCATGTAGTTGTAAAAAAAAAAAAAAAAAGCATGATGATATATCAAGTAATCCAAAGTATTCAGAATATATTACAAAATACATTTTGGGGCATGTAATCTGTAATCTGTAGTGGAATATATTTTAAAAGTAACCTTCCCAACACTGCTGATGATCAGCTAATCAAGTGTAAGTTTATTCTCCATCTCAATTTCTTAGGTAGCAGTAAGGATATTTTGTATTTTTCCACACACTGCTTCTGCATTTTGGATTCGTTTTTGTTAAATAAATAATGACCTGGTGCAATATATCATATCTTGTTTTCCATCTGAGGTTGTATTCACTTAACTTTAAGACCTGCTAAGAGCGGGATGATTTGAATATGTCCTGAAACTTAAATCCTTATGGTTGAAAAAGGGTGTACTGTCTTTTTTACCAGTACTGTGTGTGTTCAGCAGGATTGAGAGGCCTTGTTGCGGAGATGTATCAAATGAAATATACAGTGGAGCGATTCCAAACAGACCTTAAAACTAAAGAGCTTGAATATGAAATAAGGACGTTTTAAAGTAAGTTTTTTTCTTTTTCATTTCAGTAATTTTTGTGCAATACAGTTTCCTGTGTGTAACTTTCAAAATTTTTTAAAAGCGTAACTTATAAAACAAAGACCCTTGTAGGCATCAGTGAGAAATGTAACATCCTCACTTTCACTATTACAGCCAATTACATCAAATGGACAAGTCAGTTATTGTACCTGAGTTTTAGAAAGAGCGTGGTCACCCCAAAGAACTACACCAGCAGAGCCTAAAGCGGCACTCTCTCCGATAGTGTAGACCAGGTGCTCCTGTTAGACAGAAACAGAGAGGTGAGCAAAACACGCAGCCCCAGTCACGACAGACACAGAATGTTGGAGTTGAAACGTCTGATTCTTGCCTGAGAGAGAAATTCCAGCGTGTATGTGTAGACGATGCGAGCATAGGCGTACACGGGCGGTGCGAACGGAGTCACCTGATCCGCTACTCTCATTGCCTCCAGGATGCGGTGGTGGCAGTAGAGGAGCACTTCTCTGCTGAGACTTTGCATCTGGATGCTGAGATAGATGTCGGGATACAGAGCAGAGGAGGTGCTCCACAGCCATAGAAGCCTGTTATTTCTCTTTAACTCCACAGCTGGACACTCCCCTGTGTAGCCTGTGCTTTTGTTGCTGTAGTAGTTGTAGCAGTTTGGAAAACCATAATAGCCCCACAAACCATCTGGTCTTGCCGCCTGCCCCAGTTTCAGAGTTTCCTCCATGAAATTCCTCGCAGCTTTGCTAAACTCCATGCGTGCTGCGTCATCTACTTGTTTGGGGCTCCAGTCTGGATGCTTAGACCTCACTAGTGCTTTTGACCCATCCTGGTATATCTTCTTAGTGTCCCAGTTTCTCTCCCATTCAGGTCTCCAACTTTCCCAATCCACCACACCCAGGCCTGGGAAACCCCTGTCAGGGATATAGGTGTTTACATTCTCCCTGGCAACTTTGAGATGTTTGTCAAGGCTGCTGTTTTGTGGAACCCCGCCATTAATAGCCTCTCCCTGGGGGGAATACCTTGGATACAGACCAAGCTTATCATCATAAAAGATGGTTATGTTCTGACCCATAAAGGTTTGATTCTGGTTGTGGACAATGTTAAACATCCCCAGGTCAAGGTTAACGCCATACTGAGAGAGGCATTTGGCAGTTGGGGCGTTCCACACAGTCAGGAAAGGTACTTTGGAAAAAGGTGAATTTGGATAGTGCAGCCCTGAGACGAGGCTGATCAGAATTAAGTGCAGCAGCACCGCAGGCTTCAAGGACCTCATCCCTGGCAGGAAGGAAACAGTGTTTATGTTACCCAGCAGTATTATGAAATTTTAAGAGCATATTGCAAAATGTTGCTATTTGTTTAAACAAAGCTTTTTCAGTTGTAAGGCGAAATCAAATCAATAAGAGTTTTAAGAGTTTCTACTGTTTACGAGCCAGGAATTTTAAATGTGTCTATTTACTACTTGTTTCTTTGATACTTTTCAAACACCTTTAACACGCCAAAAGCTTTCTGATCATTACAGATGTTGTGTAATGCAGTAAACTTGGCTAGAAATAACAGGCTCTAGTGTCAAAATAATGTGTGAAATTAACTAACATTAAGCTTGCAAACACTGACTCACCGACTTTATAAGTAGAGAAGGATTGGAGCGTGTGGCCTTGTGAAATACCCACAAGTCTCATGATCTGAAACACATATTCAGGAAAAATGGGAAGTAACAAACGCTGAACCAATTAGAAGTGTCCACAGGACCTCCAACAACCAATAACAAGAGACATGCAAATCATTCTATGGAGAACACAGATTTAAAGTCACAGGCAAGTTAGCACTTCCTCCCATCACACTGTACAGCTTGAAAACAGTTTTCAGATTGTTTGAATTTAAAAAGAATATAAATATGACAATCAACAGTTTATTGGGGGACTTAAGAAAGCTTGACGTTTTCTGAAAAACCACCAAGCGAAGCCATAATGAACTCTTCCACCTTGCAATTTAAATGCGTGCTTTGCTCAACTCTTAAAAGCATATAAAAATAACCAGTGGTTAACGAAAACCTACAATTACATGGGGAAGGGGGTATGAGGGTGCTGCTGGCAAAATGAGTCAATCCCTGAGAACTAGCTGGCTCGGACTCCCCTGGCCACAGAGGCTTCCCGCAGAGGCTTCACTCTCAACTGCTGACAACAAAATCATGCCTGTATTACTCCCAAAACCATATCTCAGCTATATTATCTCCTTATGTAGTTACAAAAAAAAAAGAAAAGCGTCACACTTACTTTACTAAAAATACACACAAAGCACGATAAAGCAGTTTATTTATCCAAAACTGGCTGGCACAGCGGTTAGCACCATGGCCTCACAACCGGAAGGTTCTGGGTTTGAACTTGCACGTTAGCTGGAGCTTTCCAATTTCCTCCCACAGTCCAAACACATTCATCTTAGGCTGATTGGAGATGCTATATTTGTCTGAGCCTGAATGGCTTTTCTGCACAAACCGCCTGCGCAAAACCTGAACCTCCCCATAAACCACTAATACACCTGAGTTCTCCCTCCTGTGTCAGTTGTGACCATGGCCCCTCGCCCAGTGTCACTTAGGCAGCCTTAAATTAAAACACAACAACCTCAACAAAGAAGTTTATTTACACCGACAAATGCCATTTTTGTATGAGAGACATCAATATGAGAAACACTGTGCTTCTGGAGTCAAAAGGCCACTGAAACATGAGGCTCGTAGAGTGGAGATGTGTCACCCTTTTAAAAAAGTAGTAGTCATGTTTTGGACAATAATATCGTATAAAAAATACATTCAAATAAATAATAACACTGCGAATGACTCTATAAACACATCAGATGTCAGAAAGAGGCCAATTTAAAGAAGATTTAAAAGAAATTAGGCACTTCAAATATATTGTGCTGTTATCAGATTTAAGTGAATCGTTTTCCACTTTCACCACATACATTTACTCATTCGCAGCATTTACCACAGAAGCATCCTCTCTACAAGAAGCATGGACACCTTGGCAAGCGGCGAGTGAGAGGACAATGTAAACAGGGTCATTTCCAGCAAGTTTTTTTCTTTTTTTAAATGATTAAAAGTTAGAAACAAACACTACCTTGGAATTTCCACAGCGGTTCTTACGATATACAGCAACAGAAAAAAACCACACACGCCTATCTTCCCTTCACCTCTCCTCTTGTGCTCCTTTTAGACTTTTACAGTTACATAATAGGTATTAACAGATGAGCAGGCAGACAATCAGTAAGATCAAACACTGCAGAGCCACTGCTGTGGCTCGAGTCGCCGTCCCTTTTTGGTGTAGCGGGTCTGTTTGATCGCAGAGCTCCCCCTGATACCCGCTGTAACACTGACACTGAAAGTCTGCTTCAAAACTTAACCCGTCTGCTTTGCCGAGCTCACCGGTGACCGTCAGCTTGCCGTTCTTCTCGACGATGTCGTGAGTGAGGGGATTCAGATGCAAGTAAACGTCGCTGTTCGAGTTTCTGCGCAGACATCGCCCGTGAGAGCCGCAAAGGGTCTGGCTGCATAGTTCTGCTGCCGTGGAAACGTTCAGGAGGTACTGACTCAGTGTGCCCCGCAGATATTTATCCAGATCAGAGCAGGTGGTCTATGGGAAAAAATAAGTGGATACATGAAATCTTCAAGTACTGCGCAATTAATCTGAAAAATATGAAGTAACTAAAGCTCTGGTATGGAGTACAAATTGCCATAAATACACTTTGTAAGTGAGTAAAGGCTGTTTATTAATCAGCATGCTCTCAGAAGTTTAGATGATATCATCTGTGGTTAAAAATAAATGCGACGTATCCAAGTGATGTGTTTAATTTCACAATCGTTGTGTGCATGCTTACTTTGGTTGTGTGCACAAGTTTATTTATGAAGCGTATTTCACAGAAAGATGTCACAAAGCGCTGTTACACAACAAAGAGTACAATAAATAGGAAAATTAAGTGTCATAATAGCCCATAAAATGGGTATTTTATAATAAAAGAGTAATAACAATAATAATTATACATGTAGTGCCACAGAGTGAACGGCTCTCTTCTACCTAGTCTTTAGTCACGTACGCAGAACAACAGATTCTGAGCTTGTGAATGAAGACAGCGAGCAGCTGGGATAACTAAAGTGTTCTGTATGCAAATGCCAGAATCCTAAATCTATTGGGAGCCAGTGTAAAGAGTATAAAATAGGTGTGATCTGAGCATCAATAGTCTGGAATATGCATTTTTATAGCTTGGAGGCGTGAAAGAGATTATTTATCCAAGCTGGTTAAGCGTAATGGAGTAAAAGCAGGACGCTGTGTGGAAATACTTAAAGTACAAATACATTCATTTTGAATAAAGTACCTGAGTAAATGTACTCAGTTACATCCAGTGGTGCTGGGGACTGCTAGATTAACAGTCACTCTAATCGACGGATGTCAAAATGATTTTACATTGAACAGTCCACTTTGATCTTAAGTGGGTTGGACCAATGAAGCTCCTCTATATCGGTGTGTAAAGAACTTTACCTACACATTTAATCCCTGAGATATTTTAATATAATTAAAACAAGTGTTTCTTCCAACAAAGATCTAAGATTTTTTTTTGCATAATATAGAAGTGTTGTTTGGGCTTAAATTGAAAGAAATAAACATGTAAAATTACAGAAAAAGTTTTGTTAGCTCACTGTGCGGAAATTAAATTGTCTTGTTGAAGTCTCTTTATGCTTGGGCCTTTTGCACTTCAAATCGTTACAAAAGTCTAGTTTTGCGTGTCTGTTGTTATATTATGACATGATTTGAGCCTTTTCAAATGTATCCTTGTCCAATACGTTTGAAAACTAAACTTTGAAAAAATAAATAAACAGGTCAACTGCTGCAGTTGCAAAACATCCCTTTTTTTAATGATGATTTCAAGATTTTGGATTTAATGCCCCAAAATGGAATCGAAGTCAAAGCCCCAGTCAGCGTATATGTGTTTAATCAGCACCTGATCATGTGGCCAAAGACATTAACCGTAAACCCTGAACTTTGAGAAATATCTCCTAGTATGAAATGCCTTCGCATGTCACAGACGAGAAGAGCAGCTCAAAAGTTAAGATGATAACATCTGTTCCAAAAAAATGCATACACCATATCTGAGTGATTGATGTGTTCGTTTCGCAATTGATGTGTGGACGCTTACTTTGTTGTGTGCATAAGCAATATCTCCCCACATGATTATTCCAGCTGCTCCCAGGGCCACACTCTCCCCGATCGTGGACACAAGGTCAGTCTGCAAAAAATTACAGGTCAAACAAAAGGAAAACAGTCAGCTAAGTAAGTGTCAGAGGTTCATAGGCTACTGTATGTGATAGTAGAGGGCCAGCTCTTCTGTTCTCATTCTCCTATAAGCAAATAAGGGTGTTTAGAGTGACTTTTAACTTGACCAACACCCATCCTGCCTAATCTGCACAAATGAAAGGTATTGGGGTGTCTGAATGCCAGCAGCACAGGAAGGGACTGTAGCAGCAGATAAGAGATGAATCTACACAGCATGCATTAACATTAGTGCTCAGTGACGGTTCTATATGTCAGGCTTTTACTAAGAATTAGCAGGAAAAAGATAGAAGAAATGTTTCGGAATATAGTCAGTAACATGGCTGGTTCGAAACTTCATTAGTGTCTTAAAGGAAAAAGCAGGAAAAAAGTTCCAGGAAGAGGAACCAAATTCAACACTGGCACTGTTTCCAAAGTTAGACTGTCACCTCGGTCAGCTGCTCCAGGGAGTTCATGTACGTGGGCCGCGTGTACACAAAGACAGGACGTGCCAAGCCATCGCCCGATGAGGCCAAACGCATCCCCTCTTTCACGCGGTTCCGCACAAACTGGCGTCCGGCGGCTGATGAGCGCAGCAAGCTGCTCATGTAGATGGAAGGGAAGAGGGCTGTGCTCTCAGTCCACAACCATTTCAGCTGGTCATTGCGAGACACCTCCACATCAGGACAGCGGCCCGTGTAGCTCTCCAGAGTGCGCACGTAGTTGTGGTTGTAGCAGTCAGGAAACAGGTAGAAACCCCACAGCTGGTTGGGCCTCAGGTTCTTAGCTTGCTTCAGTGTGTCTAACATGAACAGCCTGGCAGACAACTCAAACTCCTGCTGGGCCACTTTTTTCACCTGATCAGGAAGCCAGGTTGGGTTCTTCTGGCGCACCAATTCCTCAGAATGTCTGCGGTAAATGTCTTTGGCTTCCCAGTTACGTATCCAGAGGGGACGCCAATCCTCCCAGTCGATAACAGCTAAACCAGTGGCCCATTCTGAACGTATGTACTTCTTAACATCTTCTGGCATTTTCTCCAGGTGCCGTGTGCGACTGGCCACCTGCGGAAGTCCCCCATTCACCGGTGTTTCATCTTGTTCAAAATAGGGGTACAAGCCCAAGCGCTCCTTGTAGAAGATGGTCAGATTCTGATTAACAAAGCCCTCATTGGGTGTAGCCACAATCTGGAACTGGTCCAGCTGGAAATGAATTCTATGCCGCGGGGCACAATCTTCAATCGGGGCATTCCAAGCAAGGAGCAGAGGCTTTCGGGAATACAGTGGCCATCTCGTGGGCTGCAGTCCCAGAGCAAAGAGGCAATCCCACAGCGGGACAATCAGCAGCAGAGCTTTCCAAGCTGACAAAGTCCTGTGCAACATGTCTTCAGATGTGGATGGACAAAAAGGACTGCCACACTCTGCTCTACAATCCACAGGAGGGAATGACATGTTAGTTTCCTGAATGCACATTTAATAAGGCGTTTTCTCTTAAACAAACCTTAAACATGTTTCCATTTTATTTATTCAAAACCAACTTTATAATTACATGGACATGAAGCACAAGCTTCTCTTTTGTGACATTGCCACTGCAGATTAATTTACATAAATGTCTGCAGACTATTAATATTTTCTTAAAAACAAGAAAAGAAATAAAAGAATAGAAAAGAAAAATGGTAATACAATTTTTATCCAAAAATAGGCTTCTTTAAACTGGATTCTACCTCTAGCAAGCTGTTAACATAAATTGCCTTCAATTTAACTACTGTTTGCAGCTCTTTTATTAGCAACGATAAAAAGGTAAAGTTAATCAACTTCAGCTTCCCTACAGATGGACACACTTACCTTTACTGGCAGGCTGGGGAAGCATTCCCCCGAAGACAGAAGCCTACAACTTCACTCCGCGTTTTGGCGTTGCTTTAAAAACAAATAGGAAAAGAAAATTCAGTATAAAGAAAAAGACGACGGGGTAACTTTACAGGAGCACATGCAGCTGTGCTGTGTCTTATAACCTCGGCTCTCCGGCTCCTTGCGGTATGTAAAACTCACAGAAGTCAACTTACCCCCTGCGATGTTGTCAGTTGCAACTCGTTCAGTCCCGAGTGCCAAACCACTCTCGGGATGGGATGTTCCATTCAGTCTGAGGAAAAAGGGGGGGGGCGGAGAAAGGAAATGGACATCCTTTTAAAAAATCTGTCAGCGGCTCTAATTCGTTTCTTCACGTCACTACTTCAAACTGCTTCGAGTATCAGCTTAGCGAGACGTGCTTTGA